TATATCTTTATGTTTGAAGCCTGAAATGTGGCAAAAGGTTGAAAAGTTCAAGGGGGCCGAATACTTTCGCAAGGCACTGTAGGTATTCAACTTAATCCTTGAATTAGGAATATTCATTTGGAAGCTTCGTATGCACTGCAACTTAAAAATCTTACCTTTCAGTGCTTCATCAATGTAAGTTTTATAAAAGAACATTCTATCTGTGTCATCCACAGTAGATTTTGAATCAGTTGACACCCCATTCTCAGTGATATAGATTTCTGGGTTGCCATATTCATCCTTTATCCAGTTCAGAAGTCTTCTCAGGCCCCAGGCAACAGCTTTAAACTCATTCATAGCAGTACCAGGCCAGTCATTTTCTACTGCTTCACCAAGATCCCGATCATAATCATAAGAATAGGGCTTTAGCCTGGCGGTTACATGATGCACAATTTTAGTGGTATAAGAATTAATACAGAAGACATCAGCAGTTCCCTGGATATAGTCCTTTTCTTGCTCTGTGAAAGCGGGAAGCCTAGATTCTGGCAGGCCTTGCAACTCACTTTTGTTACCTACCTGCCATTTCAGTGCATCTGGGTAGTCCCCATTTTTAAAAATGGGGTGTGCAAACCAACCAAGCTGGAACTGGAGGTAACGGTCAGCAGCCACTATTTCTCTGGGTACATTTACGTCCTTGGGTTCTACCCAGTCAGCATTAAGGCTTAGGGAGACCAGACCACCTTGGACACTTCTGTATTTCTTGTCATAAGTGTGATAAGCCATAGCATGAGCTTTTAAGAGATTGTGGGCAACTCTATAAGGGGCATCTCCTGGACTCTTCACATTGGGAGGCATCAATCCTTTGGCATAGCCTGCCCATGCAATAGTATGGGGCTGGTTAAAAGTCATCCAGAACTTGACTCTGTCTCCAAAGGTTGCAAAACAGAAGTCAGCAAATTCATTGAATATTTCAATCATCTGCTCATTCTCCCAACCTTTAATATCCTGCAAGGCTTGAGGAAGGTCCCAGTGATAGATGGTTACCATTGGAGTAATATTGTAAGCCAGGAGACCATTGATGAGTCTGTTGTAATACTCCACTCCTTTCTCATTCAGGGATCTGATTCTACCATCAGGAAAAATCCTTGGCCAGGACAAAGAGAATCTATAAGACTTAACCTTCAAAGCCCTTAACATGTACAGGTCTTCCTCTATTTTATTGTAGCTATCACAGGCCACATCCCCAGTGTCATTGTTCTTGATGCTGTTGGGCTTGTGTGTAAAAGTGTCCCAAACACTTGGTCCCTTCCCATCAGTATTCCATGCACCTTCGATCTGATAGGCTGAGGTTGACACACCCCACTGAAATTCTTCTGAGAAGGTTCCATAGTGGAAAAGCTTCCTCTCGAATTTAGATTGGCGAGAAAACTTCTCCCAGACAATCTTAGCTTTTGAGGGAACATCAGATGGAGGTAGACCAGGCAGCTTGGTAACCTTAGGTTGAGAAATAAGATTTTGGGGCAATATCTTGTCTTTTCTGCTTATAAATCCATTATTTTCAATGATTTGTGAATAGAAATATGCAGATTTTTTTGGTGTTCTTGGCCTGTTAATGTCTTCAAAGTTTACATAATGCAAACCAAACCTCTGACTATAACCTTCTGGGCCTTCAAAACCATCCATCAGTGACTGCACAGTGAAGCCTCTCACATCCACTCCATCTATCTGTATCGCTGATTAAATAAAATTAAATTAATGTTAGCTTTTCATACATAATGCAGAATAAAGTACATTTTAAATCAGTCAATCAAAATGTTCTGTTCAATACATTTAAATTAATCTGAGAGAATGTGGAAAATATCTTTTAAACCCACCAGAAAAGTCAGTCCTAACCTTCCTGAGAAGTCTTTACACAATTATTGAATGTGAGGCACTTTTATTGTACTTTTAAGATTTCCAGACATTTGGCATATACTCTTTAAATCTACAGGGAATTTATAATGATACGAGCTATAAACAAAGTGATTTGTACATTAAATGCATTTAATAAATACAGTGAATTTAGCTAAACTGCGTAGCCACAGTTATCTACTGTAAATGAAGATGGACAACCTGAATTGGAAGGAAGTATTGTGAAATGAACAGAGAAAATATCAAAACTCAGTAAACACTCACCCTTCAAAGCTTCATTAATGTAACTGTTAAGAAAATGAATACGCTGTGTATCATTGAGAACCTCTCCGTTGTATTCTGTTGGCATTCCATTTCCTGTTATGTAAATGGGAACTCTAGAGGCAGATGTGTATTCTGCGGCTATAAAATTTAGGAGCCGTCGAATCCCCCATGGGACTGAGAAAATCCAGGGAGAGGCAGTCTTTGGCCAAGAGGGATCAACATCCTCTTTGAAATCCCCCACATTATGTGGTCCTGGGTTGCAGACTTTAGGGCTGGAACTGATCAGCCGAGATGTGTAATGGTTGAGTCCAAAGAAATCAGCTGCTCCTTTAATTTTCAACTTCTCTGCTTCAGTAAAAAGTGGAAGCCTAGCCAGCTCTTTCTGGGGACATTCCTGGTTTTTCTGCTCAATCTGTTTTTTCAGTATTTCTGGATAATCACCATTGACGAAAAGAGGGTGAGCGAACCAGCCCAGCATGAACTGCAGGTAGCGCTCTGCAGCCTCCACATCCTGAGGGCTGGAAGAATTCTTGGGCTCTGCCCAGTTAGAATTTAAGGCAATGCCCACTTTTCCTCCTTGGAGAGGTCGGTATTTGTTATTATAAACATGCCAGACCTCAGCGTGGGCTTTGATTATCATGTGAGTTACCTTCATAAAAAAGAAGAATACAGCAATGAACAGAAATGCATTAATTATCATATTTACATTTACAAGATGATTTTCAAACACCTTTTCTTCAGTACCAAAGCTTCTCTCAAACAGTTTGAATGTGCTGAAAACACTTACAGATGCATATCTGGAAAGGGCCAAAGCAAGTGTGGAACAGAAATAAGAAAAAACCTTGAACAATAATAACATTTTCCTACTTCTACTTTTGGATTTTCTTTTTGCTGTATTTTATTTTGACATCAAAATAAATTAAACATATTTACTGGAGTAAAAACTTTAGAAGTTGCCATATTCTGCTTTACCTTTGGTAATCCCTGCTTGTGCTGACTACAATATGTCAAACATATTGCAGGTGTGATACTTTGTATCCTTTATTAAGACTGAAATATCAATACTCTTTAGTTTTATTGGAATGCTTTTACTTAGTTTCTGTTTCTTATGTTTCAAACAAAAGTGTTGCCGTATGTACCTGGTAGGAAGCAATTATTGGGTCTGAGATTCCAGGAGGGTGTTGTCCAGTACCATATCCTGCATAACTAACAACCCAAGGGCTGCTGAAAGTGTTCCAAACTTTCACACGGTCTCCAAACCTAGAAAAGCAAAAGTCTGCATATTCCTTGAATGCTTGTATGATGGATTCGTTCTGCCAGCCACCCTGGTCCTGCAGGACCTGAGGCAGGTCCCAGTGATAGAGAGTCACTACTAGCTCAATGTTGGACTGCAGAAGACCGTCAATTAGTTTGTCATAATAAAGAGCACCTTTCTCATTTAAGCTGCTATTGTGGCCAGTGGGGAAGATTCTAGCCCAAGAAATGGAGAACTGGTACGTCTTGCTGTGGAGGCCTCTCAAGAGGTAAACATCATAATCGATTTTATTGTAGCTGTCACAAGCCAGGTCAGCTGTCTGGTTCTGGAAGACATTCCCCTCGTGGGAAAACCGATCCCAGATTGTCTCTCCCTTTCCGTGTTCTGCCCAGCCACCTTCCACCTTGAATGATTCGCTGGACGTGCCCCACTGAAAACCATCTGGAAAGGTACTATTGAGGAAAAGGTCTTTTTCAGACACTGGTTGGTCTGAAAACTTTGCCCAAACAGTCTGATAAGATGAGAACAGCGAATGGTCGTTCACTGTAGTCTTAGAGCTCTCAGCAGCAGCCTTCTCTGAAGCTTTGAGCTCACTCAGTTGACTGGATTAAAGGTAAAAGAAAGAAAAGAAAATATTTATGAACAGAATCAACTATAATGTGAAATGTGAATTTTTACTCAGGAAATATGTCAACTAGGCTAGTATTATATTATTTATGATAATATTGTTTATGTTAGCATTAACATTCTTTAGCATAATCAGTTTTGTTGTTTAAAGTAGCAATACAAAAACTCTTCTATTATTTTTGAGTTTTTCATATAATATGTACTACATAACAGTATTGGAAACTGCAATATGGAGCAAATTGTAAAAGGGCTTCTCATATTAACAATGGACTTTCAATATTCCATCCATTCATTTTCTAACTGCATCATCTAATTCAAGAGTGTGAGACTTTCTCGGCAAGCAACATTCAACATGAATTTCTTTTTTTTTCAGTATTAATATGATTCCAAAATCTTGACTACATAATCAAAATAACTGCAAGTTTCTCAAAAACTGTTAAAGAAACAAAAAAATACCCTTGTGAGTTGTTCTCCACAGTCAGTTGGTCAAAGATGTCAACGATGTCACATCCCATGATCCTCAGTTCATTCTGTTGCAGAGCTGTGAAATTGTAATATACTGTAAAGTATCATTCTTCAGGGAACAATATCAAGAACATATGTATAGTTTAGATTATTTTAGGAAGGGTGAAAGTGAGGTTTTCTTAAGAAAGGCAAAATATGATTTTGACACTATTGATATTTTAAAATCTTGTTCACCATTACAGTACTATTTCAAGACTATAAAATGTCTTATAAAGCATTCAGATTTGCAACTTCACAATGCAAGTCAATACCATAAATAAGTCACATCACTTCAGATACTGTATCCCTTTGACTTGATGTTAGACTTATCTGACAATACGTAAATCTTAACTATTTAATTATTATAATTATAATGATTTAAATGAGCCCCCAAATTCAACTTATACATTTCTAATAAAACTATAGTGAATTGTTTTCAGTTCTAGTACCGTCGGAGCTTTATTTCACATACAAAGAATCATGCATGAAACCAGTAACTTGAAAACTTTGTCCTCTTTTGAAGCAGAAAATGATAAAAAATGTATGATTAACTAAATAATTGGTTCAGATAAGGCCCCAACTTTTAAATTAATTGAATTTGAACAGACAATAGATTAAGAAGAACCGGTACTCAAAAACAATGGGCTAAAGATAATATAAAATTCAGTTTCACAGATTGGAGGTATTTGTCACCTTACCTTTCAGTAAACTGGCTAGGGGCTGGAACTGATGGTCATATGCTGAGCTACAGCCTTCACCATGCAACTCGTAGATCAAAACTGGCACATCATTAAACATGGCTCCCTGAATGATGAATAGCCTCAAATAAAACGATTGCTCGTGGTGGTATATCTTTATTTTCACATATTGCGGTGCATCTGAAGACTGGGTTAGTAGCTTTGAACTCTGTTTCATGACAGTGGTGAATGACTAAAGGAAATCTTAAGTTTTTTTTTACCTGAATTCGTTTTATCATAATTCTAAGTCTATAATTTATTGTACTATTAAGCTTCACAAGGCATAAAGCATTCTTCTTGATTTCAGCCTTGATCCATTTTTCCATTTTCCAACTTCTTCAACTAGTACAAGAAGGCAGAGGATTCGCAGCCAACACAAGCAATGGGTGCAATGGGTACACCCTGGACAAGACGCCAGTCCATCACAGGACACACACAGACACACAGACACACACACACTTTTTCCAGAAGCCAATTAACCTACTGTACCAGTATGCTTTTTGGGCTTTGGAAGGAAACTAAAGCACCTGCAGGAAATCCATGCAAACATGAGGAGACCATACAAATTCCACCCAAATACCACCCAAGGCCCCAGTGCTGTAAGACAGCAATGTTAGCCTCTATGCCAACCATTCCAGTCTTCATATGTAGTATTTTTGTCATTCTGTTTACTTTCATTCAGTTTTTGTACTTTATGAAGGTAAATAAGTCATTTGAGACAGTTATGCAGTATTTGTTACCTGTATCTTTAAAAATTCTTCCTGCAAGTTTGTTTCCAATTTACAGTCATAGTTGACGTGCACAGCAAGGAAATCTATAAATCCCTAAATGAAAAAAATAATATTAATAATATTTCCTTAATACTTTCTGTTACATTCACTTCATGAATGTGTCTGGACATCAGACTTAATACAGATTTTCATGTTTTTGCATTAAATACCTGCTTCATCATTACCTTGTACATATTGTCAGTTTGATAAAAAATGTTTTTTCTCTTAATGTCACTAGCTTTCATTCCAAGGGAGATCTGTCCACCTGTAAGAATATTAAAAGAGCATATGTTGTTAGAGAAACATAAAAAAGTATTATCTTAAGAAAACTAGGAAATAGGTTTACTGGGTTAAACTCCTAAAATATTATTGTACAATATTATTGTATCTTAGCAAAAATTGATAGTGTTCTGAATATATGAATGTACCAGAACACTATCAATTTTTGCAGTAGTAAAAAAATCAGAGATACCTTTTAGCAAGTTGCACTCAAAGCTTATGAATTAATATTTCATGTTATCAACATACTGTTATGCTAATTGAGCATTGTAGAAAAAGGCAAAAAAATGGAAAATAAAAAATGTAACTGATGTATATATCCTGCAGGACTGATGCCATAATTGACCTTTTAGATTTAGATTTTAGATTGTTATAGTAAATTAACCACTTTATAAGAAGCCTCTTCACAGTTTTATACAATGTATGTCTGAACACTTGTAGTGTACTCAAGCAGGTAAAACATGAAAATTATATGTGCCTCCCCATAACTCCCCTGCTAAACATTATTATACTAGATCCATTATATAATTTCGACCTTTGTAAGCTATGAAATAAAGATAAAAACTGCAGAGTTGCATTTACTCAAAGATAAATAATCTCAGATATGACTTGTAATTGTAGTCCAAAAGGTTTCTCCTAGAACCCTTTGGAGTGACTTGTGACTAAAAAATAATGGTATATTCTGTTTTTCATGTAAAACAAAACATACTGTTAGAACATGAAAATCTGAATCAGTTCATTGGAAAATTAACAATTTAACACAGATACATCATTGTCCTTGCCCTTTTAAGTCAAACTTTTGTAGCAGTTATGACTGTTTAAAGACCAATTAAATGGAAATACATTTTTAGTAGTTATTTTTGGTTTAAGTTAAATTATAGAAAAATGTAGAATACTTAACAGCAAGGAGATCTTTGTTCTACAGACTTTCAGATAAAAACACAATAGGCCTTTATACAATGCTGTCCTTTAAATGGTATTAACTATTTTTGCTTTGACTGTAAGACAAGAGCTTAACTACAGAAAAATACATTCGTTTACACATCTGAAATAATTC